ATAGGCATTTTATGGGTTTCTTCTGCGAGGCATATTTGGAGTTTCAGCGCGAGAGCGCCCTCTGGCCTTTGGATGGAGATTTACTGCTGATCACAGAACCGTGCTTCACTGAAAGATACGCATGACAATCGCAGCTTCTGTCGAATCGCAATCTCGATTCCATTTCGATTTATCGTGCAGCCCTAGTGATAAGGTTTAATATTGTTCTTTCCTTTATTTTGTCTTTAGTATCTGTTGTAAATGTCCCGTCCTCTCTGTTTCTCTCAGGCTGGTATAACAGGCTGTACATAAACTTCATCCTCAGGAGACACATTTTCTTCTTCATGCTGCAGACATACTTTCCCACAATGCTAATGGTCATGCTCTCCTGGGTGTCCTTCTGGATCGACAGGAGAGCCGTACCGGCCCGTGTCTCTCTAGGTAAACCTCCCAAAGAAACATCCTAATTTTAGAATCTATAAATAAATTTAGAAATTATATTCTATTTATTTGTTCTATTTAACATGTCAGATCTTAACGTTAGACCTGTGACAGGACGTTTCTGTAATATCGCCTCAGGTGGGTTGGTAACCGTGAGCGGTGTGTATTTACTTTGTTCTCTCTGGTTATTACGCTCAGGAACAAGTACAAACCGGTTTAGAGAGAACAGAATTAAATTACCTCAAAAATACCTTGATAGTCAGGCCAGCAGGCGTTAGACACCCAGCCAGGAAGTTGCTCTTTTTACACACGTCGATGACATCAGAGCACAAGCTCAGAGAGAGTCACAATAGAATAGAAGATGTAGTCCACATAATGTGTGTCTTCCTGAATGTTTTCTTAAGGAGTCGGACTAATGAGAAGTGTTGCAACCTGCACTGTGTGTGTGCAAATTTGGAATAAACTGTGACTAATTTAAAGAACTTTACTACTGAATGTCATGCGTTTCTCACACTTTCATTTGCTTTCTCGCCCAATTTGACCGTCCATAATCTGCTGGGGACTCTTGTGTGAGATGCAATAGATGGAAACATTATTTGCTTGAACTTTTGAACTGCCTCTTCTTAACATGTCATGTCTGTTTCCCGTGAAACCGCTTCTTATTTGTTACTCTGCCCTCTCTTTCTGTTTCTTTTGATCTCCTACAGGAATCACAACCGTGTTGACCATGTCTACCATAATAACAGGCGTCTCAGCATCAATGCCTCAGGTGTCTTATGTGAAGGCGGTGGACATTTACCTTTGGGCCAGTTTCCTCTTTGTTTTCCTGTCGGTCATTGAATATGCTGCTGTGAACTACTTCACTACAGTGGAAGAGATGAAAAAACTTCAGAAAGGAAAGGTCAGGGTCACGGACTGATCAGAGATTGTATATGGTGCTTTTGCTCTGGAAATATGACCAAGGCTGAATATTCACTTTTAAGCTACACATCGCCCCCTATGGTAATTTTAAGGCAACACAAATTCAAACAAAAGTTTATCATAGTAACCATAGTTTCTGTCAAAATACAACAATAATAATAATAAAAAATAATAATATAGCTACATACATTTTAATTATAATTTTATTAACAAAATTAAAATAACTTAATTTTAATGTTATTTTATATATAAAAAATAAACAGAGATTTTGAGAGCAATAAAAGTATTAATTCATAAATAATATATTATAAATACATATTTAGATCATTTTATTATTACATTTAAAGGCAACATAAATTCATTGGCCTAACAGAAATGTACCTTGTTAGCCATAGTTTCTGCCAAAATACTATAACAACACCAATAATATTAATTAATTCATAAATAAGTTATTTTTATTTATAAAAAAATTAAAACAGCTGAGATTTTGAAAGCCATAAAATTATTAATTCATAAATAACATATTATAACATTTATTAAAAATATATTATTATTATTAATCATTCATAAATAGGTCAATTAAATTAAAACAATGTAATTAAATTGGCCTAACAAAACTTTACCTTTAGTAAACCATGTTTTAGTAACCATGGTTTCTGTCAAAATAATAACAATAATAAAATAAAACAATAACCAAATTAGAACAATTAAATTTTAATTTTGTTTAAAAAATGTAAAGCAAATTAAAAATGTAAAACAAATTCCTCGCAGTGGTTGAAGGAAAACCCAAATTAATTTATTTTGGCTTTACAGTGTTAACAACTCAAATCAAATGGGTTGTAAATGGCATTTTACTTTGACTTCAATGTATAATTTTAATATAAATTAATATACATTTTTTATCACTGTTGTTTGTGGTCCATAACAGATATTTACTTTGTCACATTTCTCTTCCTACCAAAGCTTCCAGTTTCCTACGACGCAACCCAGGCTATGGCCTACGACGGCTGTTTTCACGATGACATAGATGTATCGCCTTTCCCCGAGCTCCCCACAACACCCAGCACGACGCGGACCATCCCGCCCAGAGCCTCCTCCACTGAGCCTCCGCCCACCGAAGGCACGAGACTCTGGAGGAAACGCTCAGTCGGCAAAAACATCAGATTCATAATGAGCAATAGCTACATGATTGACTCGTACTCCAGAATCATCTTTCCACTGGCATATCTTCTCTTCAACATCATCTACTGGTGTATCTACTCTTGATCGTGTAGCTTGTGTTTTTCTGACCAGTCGCCGTAATAAATCCAGGATAAGCCAGTCTTATTGCACAAGACAGTTGAACGTTGGGCCTGTGATGGCTGTAAAAATGAACGCTCTGACAGTAAGCACAAGTGACCTGACAAAGTGGACAGTTTGGATTAAGTGTAACTGGAGAAAGATCCAGATGGCATTTCTTATAGCATGTGAAGGAACGTCTTTTTGTCATCAACTCTCAAACGCAAGGAGCATATTCACCTCATTCAAGGATATACTGTATAAACAGCTGCTTACCTCACTCTTGTGACTGTTGTTATGGGATCCATCCATCACCTCAGCTTTATCTCCTAGAATTCATTAGATCCGAGAGCTGAAACTTGAAACCAAGCCAACCTGCTTCATATGCTCAAGAATTATATGAACAGGTAAACTTGTGAATAAATTAAATAAAATAACCCTCATGCTAGTCTCACATAGTAGGACTTTTGACTCATTCAATTTTGGGCCATGTTTTTCTGTTAGAACCGCCTAATTGAACAGGAAGTAGCTGTCTGAGTGACATATAAAGGGACCAATCACAGTTCAGAGTTTCACCCATGATATTTACACTACCGTTCAAAAGTCTCTTATGTTCACCAAGGCTGCATTTATTTGATCAAAATACAATTAAACTGTAATAATGTGAAATATTGTTTTCTATTTTAATATATTTTAAATTTATGAAACATTTAATGCACAATAAACATTTCTTATTAGTAATGATGAAAACCGGCTGTGCTGCTTAATATTTTTGTGGAAACTGGGTAGATCTGAAATCTGTGAAAGCATAACACAAGACAAACTATGTAACATTACAGTTAAGAAAAAGTGTGAATAGACATTTTTATGTGTCCAGATAAAATGGAATTTACTTGTAGACATTTGATGCCACGAACCTCAAAAAACGTTTGAGTAGAAGCGTTTGCTCCTTGTAAACATAACTTTTATTTCCTGGTTGACTTTTAAATACCTGTGCAATCTGATTCATGGAAATTGTGTAGCAGCCAACCAATCAGATTGGAGATTGTGCTTTTGTACAGCAACATTTGGACCTTCAGAACTTGCTTAATAATTCATAAATGTACAGTATGTTGCAGATTGAATGCACAAGTGTGTTTGTGAAAAAAAACACTTTGTGAAAACTATCAACCAGGCACTCTACAACTTGTATTTCTTTTGTTATACTCTTATGTTGTACATTTTATTTTGAAAAGCTATGAAAATACAAAAATAAAATACATGTGACAACATGCACGATTTTGAATGTTCCAGACTCGTACAGATAAAATAATCAAGTCATTGAACCATAGCAGTGTAAGCACATCATTTCATTTCATACACAATTATCCCATTTATTCCAATTGCGCAATTAACCAACTAATGATGCAACTGATGCAACCTAAACCATCAGATAATTTTTTGTTGTTGTTGGTTTAAAAGGTTTTGCATTGTTTCATTATTTTCATTATTTAATTGCATTAATTAGAGTGCTTCATTTTAAGTAATATTTCTGTTGAATATACAACACGCAATACTTTATGTAAATTTAAAATACCAGTGAAATACAGTGACTCATTAGAACATAGTACACGCATACATGCACAAACACTCATTCCGGCTGTGATCAGTTTATTCTTTATGACCTTTGACCTCGGTACTGGTCGTTGATCTCGTTCAATACCACGTCAGAACCTGAGCTGGGCTCTTCTGCTGCAGTTATTATCCTGTCGTCCATCGGGTTGCCTGCAATCACAGACAAACAACTCAAATTATGCACTTCTTTCACAACAGAATTAATCTGGCCAATGTAGAAATATTGATTATTCAAATAGCTTCATTTTTAGATTTAATATTGAATTATAAATGTTTAAAAGTATACAAATGTTTTAATTTACATTAATGAGTTAAAGGAATAGTTCACCCAAAAATGAAAATTAGCTTGTCATGTGAATTACTTGTGGATTATTGTGATGTTTTTATCAGCTGTTTGGACTCTCATTCTGACGGCACCCATTCACTGTAAAGGATCCACTGGTGAGTAAATGATAGACGGCCAGCAATTTTTCATTTGTGGGTGAACTATTCCTTTAATAATAAATTCTGTTCTGTCTCATTTAAATCAAGTTGAATGTCTGTGACTAAAACAAAGAATAAAAGAGGAAGTGGAAGAGGGTTGTGCTACCATTTAAAGATCAGTTAGCATCACCTGCTGTTTCAACTAGGAATTTCAGATGATTAACACAGCCTGTCTAGCAGGTAATACTCACTGACGTCTATGGGCATATCAGATGCCAAGCTGTCATGGTTCAGGAAAGATGAGCTAGAATTGTTAGAATTCGACGAGCGGAATGAAAACATTCTTTTCTTGGAGGCTTTCTTTATCTTTTGAGTTGCTGTGCGACTCCATTCTGTTGTGTAAAAGATAGAAGGGTGGTAATTAGATAAACACGCTGCATCAAAGCAAGTCAGACATTTGCATGAACTTCCAAAGGCCTCTTACCTGAGTTTTCTGCCAGTCTCAGGCTGCCACAACACAGGTATGTCCTCCATTGTCGTCTGACGTTTTCTTTCATGGCACAATGAAACACAAAGATGAAGAATCCTGCGAGGGGACAGGTACATTCTTGTCAACATTCCATCAGAACACTAAAAATAAACCCTGACATGTGTCACCCGATAATGTTATGGATTCCACTAAGGAACTCTGACACAGTGGGTTGCGTAATGTGAAACTAATTAAAGTAGCAGCTGAACACAACAATCCTGCAAAATGGACAGTGTTGAAAATTATTACTGTTCACATGTCTGGTTTGAGATTACTAAAGGATCAAGTGACACTGAAGACTAGAGTAATGATGCTGAAAATTCAGCTTTACCATTACAGGAATAAATTATATTTTAAAATATATTATAAAATGGTTAGTTCCGGTCCTTGATTCTGATTGGTTGAGCAGCGTTCGAAGCTGTTGTAAATTACGCTACAAACATACACCTTTGTTTACGTTTGTGTGTTGCTTGGCAACCACTTTGTTGCAACCACAACCGATTCTGAGGAACTATTGTTTGGTGGAAGAATACTGTTTTTATTAATATCATTACACTTTATTTGCTCTGTTTTATTTTGTGAAACCTTACTACGTATATGGAATAACCGTTTTATAAAAGCAAGAAGCCCCGTGAAGCTGTGGTTTACAGTGAATTTATAACAGCTAAGGGGGTTTTGATCTCCGCTTCGCGTCGTGCCTAACAACGCCCCTTAGCTGTTATAAATTCACTGTAAACCACGGCTTCTTGGGGCTTATTCCTTTATTTTATTTTAAATTGTTATAATAAGAGAATGCAAAACATTTTTAAAAATCTTACTGATCCCAAACCTTTGAACGGTAGTAAAAATATATAACTTGCTTACCGAGGACCCACAAATATGTTAATACCCTTGCAAGGGATCCCCTTCCAATATAAAGTCAGCCATATTTTATATATAAAGACACTTTTATACTTTGTGAGAAATCATGTGATATTATGTGGAAATAAATAACTTGCCTTTATATTTTTACTATACCAAAGTCAAATAAATGAAATGTGCTAATTAAAAATTGATCAAATGAATGTTCAATTCATTAAATTAATTCATTAAAATGAATTAAATAAATTAATAATTAATTACATTAACTTAAAATATTATCTGGAAAATATTGAATTTGTAATAAGTGTTTTTTTCTAATAAGTTATTTTTTTATGTCCACTTGTAATGTTAGATGTATAAACCTAAAAGTTGTTTCAGAAGTGGAGAAAGTTATTATATTTTGATATAAGATTATTAAAATACACTTTTTACTTTTCTTTATAATAACTCGCAATGATAAATAGTGCACAGTAATACCAGAGACCTTTTTTAAGAAAGTAAAAATGGTCAATTTAGCCTTTCAAGAATGGTAGGGCACCTGTGCAAACTGGGACCTACCTTGTAAAGCGTTAAAAATAGCAAACAGGTACATGAAGGCCAGGTTAACAGGACCCCAGGCAAAGAAAGCGAAGCCCCAGGTGAGGCCCAGAAGCACTGTGAGTCCAGCTACACTGCGCATCTCCTGCCAGCCGCTGCGATTCTGCACGTTGTGAGGGTTCTGCTGCTTGATGCGACACAGCTGGACCATCACCACGATAAACATGGTGAAGTTCAGCAGGAAGACAAGACAGAAGTACGCCACCACAGCAACATAGAAGACAATGTCGTTTTTTATCCAGCAACTGTAGGGAGAAAACAAAATGTACAAAAAGAGCATTAAAGAAAGCTGTAATGTTTCCTCATTCATATTCAGAGTTTAATCTGACATTAAAATGTTACAAATAATTTTTATATTTTATATAATTTATATGGAATATAATTTTTTTAATATATGTGACCCTGGACCACAAAACCAGTCTTAAGTGTCAATTTTTCAAAATTTAAATAAGCTTTCCATTGATGTATGGTTTGTTATGATAGGACAAAATTTGGTTGAGATACAACTATTTGAAAATCTGGAATCTGTGCCCCCATACAATGTATTTTTGGCTATTGCTACAAATATACCCCAGCGCTTTAAGACTGGTTTTGTGATTCAGGGTCACATATTTTATATAAATGTAGTGCTGAGAAAAATTGGGATTGGGATTACTCACAAATCATCAGTCGCTCCGTTTCCATATCTCCCGTATGTCACAAGGCCATAGTTGTCTTTGTTAACGGCTATGACAATTATGACTACGACGAGAGGAATGCCTTTAAAGAAACAAAATATTTTGAGCTCATCTGCTCTCAGACAGACTAAACTATTTCAACAAAGCAGCCTTCAAAGACAAAACATGACCTTGTGCAGGTAAAATGTAAGTAACAAATCAGTCACGTACCCCATCCAGCAAGTCCTATCTTGACCATAAAGCGGGGGATGTAGGTGTTGAACACCTTGACGAGGGCCAGATACATGTGGACGGCCTCCAGTGCCATCCAGGTAAAAGACGCCAGGAGGAAATAATGCAGGAAAAAAGCAGTGGAGATGCAAAGACCCACAGCATCTGGGTACAGAGCCAGCCAGGCGTCCAATAGGAACACCAGGTTTAGCAGCAGCAAGGCCAAACACAGCTGAATAAGGATCTTAGACGGGATGTCTTTGCGCAATTTACTGTAGAGAGATTTCAAAAACAATATATATATATTATCATTTATACATAAAGTACCATTCAAAAGTTCGGGGTCAACTTAAATTGCAATTGAATGCATTAAAATTGATCAAAAGTGACAATAAAGACTTTTACAGTGAAGACTTAAAAAAAATCAGCATATTAGAATTAGAATATTTCTAAAAAATATTAATATTATATTATATTATTAATATTTATATCTGTGTGAGAAAAAGTGTGAAATTATGCTAAATTAACTTGATTTCCAATTGTGATAGTATTTCACAATATTACAGTTCTAACTATATTTTATGATCAAATAAATGCAGCCTTGGTGAGACTTTTCAAAAATATTTAAAAATCTTTCCGACCCCAAATTATTAGTGTACATTGAAGTTTTGAATTTTAATCAGAGCTTTTGTAAATCATCAAATCCAAGTCAATAATAGTTTAATAGTACATAATAATAAAGTCAATACATTCAAATAAAAGAGAAGTTAAATGGTGAATCTCACAGGGATCCTTACCCAAAGGCCAGATAAGTGAGCAGAGTGATAGACAGGAAAATAGCTGAGATTCCACAGCCAATGAATGTAATGAATGTCAGGATGTTGAGATGATCTTCAGGGATGACAGTCTTAGAAATGTCCTGTCAGGCAAGATTTAACCAAACAATTGTAACAGCCCAAAGAATCTAATTGTCTTATTAAAAAAAGAAACGTCAGGTGATGTAGATTCTTTGTGCTGTAACTTACTAGCAGAATACCAAAGCTGGTAAGGTGATTGCAGGCGCATTGAGTTTCTTCAGCAGAAGAATTAAGCACATGGCACCCAGAAGAATTCCAGCCGCCTGAGCCACCTGTGAACCAATAATCAATGGTTAAAATGCACATTTCAACCACAAAAAACCAACAAAAAACAAACAGTCTATTCGGTAAAGAAGGAAACATTAAAAGACAACTTATACCATTTAATCCAAAGTCCCAGAATACACAGGAAGCTACATAGTTAGCCTGTGAAGGAAAAAGAGAGTAAGACAAGAAATCAGCATTGTATTGAACTACAAATCTGTTTTATGTCTGTTGTGATATAAATGCTATTTATATTCACCAGAATGGGCCTTGTGTTTCGCAGGGTTATCAGCACTTCCTTTTGTAGGCCAGAGATGCTCAGGTTAGCCACGCTGCTACCCACAATCCCGCTGTTTAGTTTACGTCCATTCAGGTTTTTGTCCTAAACAGAAATATAAAAAAAAGAGTTCAGAGATACTTGTGGCTCTGATCAAATTCACATGAATTAAACTAAAGCTTTTAACACAATAACTACAGCAATACAAGCATATACTGTTTTGAGATGTGATAGCCAGATAATATCTAGACTAAGTCATATATCCTATCAGCTCACATTACACCATTCAGCTATTTCAAATATGCAGCAGTCATCTTAATACAAAGCCAATTCATTTGAATCAAAAGCATTGCTCTGTCTCAGACCTGGAAGAAGGTGCTCTTCTGGAAGAAGTTGAACTGGACTCTGGAGGCGAGCTGCTGCTGTTCTGTCGTGAGGTTCTGTGTGAGGGATGCTGGGAGGATGACTGAACCCAGAGGAGTGGACCGAACCTGAACCATGATGTCTTCAGTCTCCAGGCTGGGGTAACCTCGAATCTGTAATGCCAAACACAGCACAACCAAATTAGGTGCTTTGACCCATAAAACCCAAATCATTGTACTCATCAACATGTACAGTTTCATCACTTCATTTGTGTAGTGTAGTGTAAACAGCCATGATAATTATATAAAGTGATATAAAATTGATCATTGTCAAAAATGCCTATAATGAAAGCAGTTAACCTGGCAGAGGCTACTCTGAGATATTCAAAAATATTAGTTTAATTAATTTATTTAATAATTTAATTTAATTTAATTTAATAATTATTATTATTATTTATTTCATTCAAATCAAACTAGTATAGGGCCAGCCTACAAAACTGTACCTCTATTTTTATTCTCTTATTCTACATTAGCTATCAAACAGCAGCATTTCCATTATATATAGTCTGTAAATTGAATTAAGTTGAATCAGAATTAATCATGGAAATGTTACCTGTACGCTAGATGTTTCGATTAACGAGAAGGACGTCTCCTGAAAGTTGGTCCCATCGACTTTCTTCACTGCCAGAGCCAGTGATTGTGAAAGTATTGACTGACTAGTCCCTGACACAACCAGTTTAAGACCCACTGTGTCCACAATCCCAATGGCCCTAGTAACCAGAGACAAACAGCCTGACTGTATACAGTATATCAGACAATATTTTTTTGCTGAATCTTACGTACAGTTAAAGCTTCATTCAGGTAAATGTACTTTCTACGTTGGCCTTTTTAAGGCTTGACTCAATTCTTTTACTAAATGGGACAAAATAATAATAAACCTGGCCACGGATAAGTGTGTCTCACCTCTTTGAGAAAGGAGTCATTACAGCTACAGGAACATCGAGGAGGTTGTTGACAATATTGACGGAGGTGTTTGCCAGAGCCAGGCTGATGTTGGGCCCAGAGAGGAGTGACTCTAGCTGTGATAAGATCTGCTCCACCTGAGTGGCGTTTAAAGACGAGGCATTTGCACTCAACTTCAACAGTCCTTCAGCATCTAATGCCCCTGACGTGGTCGTGGACACTATACAGAGAAGAAGAGGTACAAATTCAGTCGACTGGTCGATTGATTCCCGATTAATTTTTGAACGCTTCTTTGTCTTTTCATTCAATAAACAGCATTAACAATTACATTGAATTTGTGACAGTAACAAGGTGAATCTCATTAAACCGGCCAAGAACATGTCTGAGTCACATTTTACCCCAAAATCAGGAATGAAATAGAATATTATAAAATAAAACCTAGGACGTTATTATCAATTTTCATTACTGTAATGCAAAAAAAAAAGTTACTGTCAGTATTGTAATGCAAGAAAAAAAATGGTATAATATTTGTTTATCATGTTGCTTTTTATTGCATTGCCTTTCATTTAAGCTTATTTAAAACAAATTGTACTGCTTTTTTATTGGCTTAACTGTCATAAAAAATAATGTCACAATATTAAAAAAAAACAATTATGGTCCTAAAATAGGCTTCAATTTCTCAAACATAAAGTAAAATTAAATAAGGTAAAATTTTAAGGACCAATTCTTACTGTTAACTAGTTTATTTAGCTTATTAGCATGCATATTACTAGAATATTGGCTGTTTATTAGTACTTATAAAGCACTTATTAATGCCTTATTCTGCATGACTGTATTTTAGATCCCTTAACCCTATACCTACACTTAACAATTAACTATTAATAAACAGTAAATTAGTAGTTTATTCAAGCAAAAGTTGTATTTAATAGTAAGTTAATAGTGAGAACTGGTCCCCAAACTAAACTGTATGAATACATTTTACTGCATTTTGACATTATTAATTGTTCTTTGAAAAGATTTGGGGTTAAATGTGCCCTCACATATCCCGGTTGTACCGTATTTAATTACCTGAGGCTGTTACATTAGCAGGTGAAGTTGTTACATTCACAGAGTTGGACTCTGTTGTGGAGACTGTAGCGTTGACGGTGGTTGTGTTCGAGAGCGAGGTACTTGTGAAAGATGGAGAGGTTGTGGTAATGTTTTGGAACGTGGGTGTAGATGAATTACAGCTGCCATTCAGGGGAATGACTATACTTGCCATACTTTCTTCCAATCCTGTTAAGCTGTAAACATATGAAATAAAAAGTGTTGTTAAGAAAACGCATATACACATGTGTGCATGTTTATGTGGTTTATGAGGACACAAATTTGTATAATGACATTCGTATGACATAGGTATTACAATGTGAAGGTGTTTTATGAGGACACTTATAAAACACCTTCACAAAAAAATACTAAATGATTTGTTTTTGAAAATCTAAAAATGCACAAAGTTTCCCGTGAGGGCCAAGTTTAGGTGTAGGGCGATAAAATATACGGTTTGTACAGTATAAAAACCATTACGCCTATGGAGATTCCCCGTAAACCATAAAAACCAAAATGTGTGTGTGTGTGCGTCCTGGTATTCCGTATGTTATGGGGACCACAAGGATAGTAATACCAGTAAATTTTGACCTTGTGGGGACATCTTTTGGTCCCCATGAGGAAACAAGCCTATAAATCATATAGAATAAAGTTTTTTTTTTAATCTAAAAATGCAGAAAGTTTTGTGTGAGGGGCAGGGTTAGGGTAAGAGGATAGAAATGACAGTTTGTTCAAAATAAAAACCATTATACAGTTTGTACAGCATAAAAAAACATTACGTCTATGGAATGAACCCACAGAACATAAACAGCAACATGTGTATTTGTGTGTGTTAAGGTTTTTAGATTATATATACTGTACACCTTTATTCATATACTACAGTACATATACTGTATACTGTATGTGTTTGTGGCAGATGAATATTGCTAATAAATACAAACAGCATACACACATCTACTGACATATATGACACACTGTATGCAAAGAAAACACTGAACTTTACTAACCAGTAATCTGTCAACAAGTTTTCTCTGTTTGACTCCATGCAGAAGCCTTCAGAACTGAAATTTGTACTCAAAGATGGCTTCCACATGAAATACTCTCTTAAAGGATCCGAAGAATAAGAGCAGATAGCTGAAAATAATCACAAGTATGTCATCAGATATATTCAGAAAATAATTTGATACATAGCCATGTTTACAAAAGACACTTACCTACTCTGCTCACAACTCCGTCGAAGATGAAGTTGTTCTGAGATTCAAAGATGGCCTCTACAGCTGTGCGAACATCACACAGGTCCATTGCTCTGTCTAGTTTCACTATAACTTGACAAGTGCTTGGCCCAGAGAGGAAAGAGCAGTACATTAACCACCCATCAACTGTAGAACAAACTTTAGCATAAAATCATGCTGCAGTGAGACTCAACATACCTTTCTATGCGATCACTCACACCTACGTCCTGCAGGAGTCAGAATAGCAAATAAGAGATCTGTGCCATTCTATGACCAAAAGACAACTTTCATGACTGACATCAAGATAACTTACCTGAATGTGATTTCTGAACATGTTACATGCAGATCTAAAATGCAGAAGTAAAAGAGGAGTTTTAAAAATGGACTATGGTATTATTATAGTATTTATCATAATAGTATATCCTGCAGTTCAGCTGGTAGAGTGTCATGGGTTCGATTTCAGGGACGATGACCACAATGGCTGCACCATTAATTGCTTTGGCAAATAAATGTACATTTTTTATTTAAAAAAAGCAAAAAGATACAGTAACAATGGTCTTAACTCACGAAATGTTGCTGCATGCTGCATTCAACAACTGATAAACCTGTAGAAAAATAAAAATAACAAAAAGCTATTTAAGGATCAACAAAACTATTACAAATCAGTATGTAAATTATGAATAAACATCCAGCGATTTGACTTTAATAATAACCTTGATACTTACGTACTGGCGTTCCGAGTAGTCAGAAAACTCGTATCTCGCGTATACAATTTCAGTGGACGAAGCAATGTTAAAATGGTAATAGTAGAAATCTAAAATAGAGGAGGACATGTAAATATAACATTTGATCTGATTTACCCTTTGAAGCAGTTTTTTGTGCATTTACAGACTCTTTACATGATAAACTTGTCTTACCTGAGTTATTGCAGTGTGAGGAACAATTACATGTTTGCGGTGCTTTAGGGAAAAACAAAAGATAAGTTAAAACATCATGGCACATTGATCGTAAATAGTTGTTTATTAACAGTGCATGTTGAAAACCAACAAGGTCTTTAAAGTATGCCACATTTCTGAGCAATGAAATATAATGAATCTAAAGCACACAGAAGGTTTATTAAAGAGGATAAAAGAAGCCTTACGTGGCCTAGTGGGACAGATCTCCTGAACACCAGTATCCAACGGAAAAATCACATTTGTACTGTTTCCACTACGAAAATAAAGACAAGAAATGAGACGATGGTTTTAGGTTGTACCTTACTCAAATAGCAATAATTTAAGCATGGTACATGATACTATCCTTTTCCAGCTTAAGTTTCAACTTACCACGAGATGTTCTGTGGTTTTGCACTACATACATCTTCAGTCACTTTGACTGTCTCATTGCATTTGTCATATTGTCCAGCTGAGAACTGTGTTATGTTATCCGCACACACACCTGTGCAAGAACATATCCACCCCAGTCAAATACTCACATCTTTTAGAAAGACTATATGATATTAAAATAGTACAATTTGTATTTTATTGCAAAACTTAAAAAAAAAAAAAAATCTTTCTATATCTGGTGGACATTGCTGCTTGTGTCAACATTTTAATAAAAGAAACCAACAAGATATTGTTTTTAAACTCTACATAAAACAATATAAAATATTAATACATTCTAAGCCAAAATATCCAACATATAATAATCATTATTATTAATTCATTCATTTTAGAAATGAAAAGACAAAACAAATTAGAAGAATTTTACTAACCCACTCTTTCTATTTGTCCCACCACAACGACACTTTCCAGTGTCACTGTCAGTTTCATTATGTCTCTAATGCAGCAAACACTGACAGGAGCACTCAGCTTCAGAAGAATATTGCATTGTGCATTCCTGTCAGAAGGCACCAGGATGATGTAAGAGAAGTTTATTGAAGTAGAATCACTTCATGTATTGCTTGAATATGTTTAAAAAAGGATTAGTGCAGCAACTGATACTAACTTTGTAATATTTTTTGGTTCACATGTGAATTCCATGGCCTAATAGTGGAAAATAAAAGGATATGTTTATTTTGTTATTTTAAATCTTATGTAAATATTATGTGCTGCTTTCCATGACTCCTGAATCTGCACTTACTTCAAACAGGCCCGTTTTCTTTGTTTCTGAACTATAAGACAAATGGTTAATTTATTACACAGCTTTTCAAAGCACAGCAAACCTTGTCAACAGTGGATTCAACTTCTCTGATCTTGTGTGAATCAAGGGTAGGGAAATAATAGCAACCGAAAACATCACTCATTATATGGTTATTATTACTGTAACTTATAAATAAAACAACAGCCATTAAGCATGAAGCACGTTCATTTTTTTGTTTGTTTGTTTTTAAGTTTAAGAAAGCAAACATAATGCTTATAATTATTATTAGGTTTGAAAGTGCTAATATGTACAAAAGGCCTTAACTATGAACCTTCATAAATGCAATTATCACTACGGTCACCACAGTGTACTGCACCTGGTGAGCACATTATAAATCCCGTCGTCAGATATGCTGTCTGATTGTGACACCACAGAAGGCTCCACAGTACCAGTCTCACTGGAAACTGCACATGCATCTAGGTTGCCTTTGAACAACCACTCAAACTAAAAAAACACACACACACACACACACACACATTGCAGACAGCTGTGATATTACTGCATTTAAAAAGAATGACAGAGAATTGCACTGACATGTACACACGTCTTTATATTATAATTGTTTTACATGTCCTTCAAGTTTTAACTCTGATATAATTGACAGTAATAATACAATTCTAATTAAATTTAATATTAATATATGCTTTCAATATTGTTAACAGTAATAATACATGTTTATGATATAGGAAATACAATTAAATTAAATCAAAAATTACACTGATTATCAGTATCACTTGCCCCAAGTAAGTATCATTCCTGAACTTACCATTGTTTTGAGATTTTGTTCACTTTGGTGTCCTACTGTTACCTCATAGGATATAGTCATCCAGTAAAACACTATTAAATAACAAAAGAGTCAGTTATGCATTGTATCCATGCTGACAGCTTTGAGAAATGTTCTTGAAATACAAGAATGACTGAGTATTAAGTACTAAATAATAAAAAAAGAGTATTCATTAAAGGGGACTGAAATGTAAAAATTAATATGATAGGAAAAGTGTAAACTGTGGTTGAATACACACAGAGACAGATCTTTATACTGTATGTCTTACCAGATGGTGTTAAAGTTTGGTTAATGGTTGTCAGCAGTGGTGTCGCATCAGTTATATTGGCGGAGGATGATGGTTCGGTCTGAAGATGATATTGGTAATGAGTCTATTAATATGGTGCCTGACAACATACTGTAGGATGGAACTGTGGTGCTAATAATGGTGTATTTGTACTTACTGTTGCTGTAAATGTTGTGAAGTTTGCAGTTGTTTCAAAAGAAGTCGTGTTTTCAGTGGATGTGTATGGTGTGGTTTCCACAGTTCGATTATCAGTGCTATGTAATTCCATCGTAAATGTTGTTGCTGGGATCGTTGTGCTTATGTTAGAAGATGTGGCTGTGGTTTCCACCATTGTTGTTGTATTTGGCACAGTAACATGGCTTGTTCTTAATGGCAGTGTTGATGAGCTACTGTGACCTTCGGTTGTAGATGAATGCATTTTGGTAATGTTAGCTGTGGTTGCTCCTGTGACTGTTGTTGAATTTGGGAGTCCTGTAGGTGTTGTGATGGCTGAAAACCCAACTGTTGTGGCATTTGTACTTGATGTTACTGCGGGAAAAAATACAGAAAAGATTAAATTACAACAAATGTATCATTATAACATGCATCGTGTTATAAGAATTTAGACACAACATGATCTCTATCAGAATATGCCACATTAGAATTTGTGGCATTTTAAATAAATAAATAAATAAATAAATACACAGCTATTGGAAACTTCATTATTCCGTCTATCAAAGAATCAAATATCAGTCTCTCTGGTAAGCATTATCAGCCTTTATTTTTTCACTTCATGCTGTTGTTGTTGTTTTTGTAATGAGGGGCTACTCTTTATCCGTCTCTTTCTTTTTGTCTGCCCATTTAGCGGATTCATAAGCATAAGTAGAAATTGGCTTTTGTTTTGTGCCAGACTTAAAACATGTCCAGCAGGTTGACTGAGCTGTATTTGTATGGTTGATTCAGTTAAGCTATTGTGTTTCAAAGTGATCACAGCCCGTGTTTTACATGACTCAGATACACTCCTAAGAATACTGAGATGTTCCTCTTTACACTAGGAGAGACATGCATACAAATATGCATAATCTAAACAAATTACTGCTCATATATATGGGCCTAAATATAATGAATATGGGAAATAAGTTAATATACACTTGAGTAAACCTGGAAATAAAGTTAAAAAAAAAATCACTCTTTGGATCATTCTGAATTACATGATCATCAGGTTTTGCATAACTGATTGCATCATTTGTAATGGAAAAACCTAAAATGAGATAAATTAGATACATAAGAGAACAAAGTTAGATAAATGCAACAAAGAAGTATTATCAATAGCAGTCTTTTAGGCAGCATATGTCCAGATGCAGAGTACCGGATATTGAAGACCTCTGGATCTCCATTAGAAGTTACACAAGCCATTGTTTAATGTTACAACATTGTGCAAATAGACGTTATATTTTCATCATCTACCTTTATTCTGTAAACTCAAATGTAGGGTGGTATTGTGGCATAATAGGTGAGCAAACAGGAGGACAATCCCTAAAAGTAAGTAGAGCTGTATAATGATCACAGTTATACAAACATCAGAACTCACCTGGAAGGCACAGCAGGAACAGGACCAGGAAAAACACATAATCCAGATGGCTCCAGAATCCAAAACTCCATCTACTCAATCGTTTGGTCGCCATCCCTCTAGATACAGAAATTAAACTCACTTCACAACAGTGCCAAAAGTGTCAAAGTAATAAGTAAAAAAAAATTCCAAAATGTAACTGCAGTGATTGTCACACCCCTGTAGTGATTCACACTTTGAGCCAATACACTGGCCATGACATGAATCCCAAACAAAAGACTGGAGCAGGTAACACAGTTAAGTTCATGAAGTTTCAACACATCCGCTTCCTGGTACAACTCAGTTCATATTTCATTCAGTTACTTCAATATGGTTAACTTAATACCTAACTTAACACATTTCATAATAAGGCTGAACCTACAGAATATTCACAAACATTTATTTAACCTGTAGCCTGGATTGTCAAGAGCTTTCAATGGAAAATCCATAGCGTGTGCATTTCTAACAAATACAACTGATCTAATGAAAAATAAAAAAAAGTGAATGTTATCAGTTATTAGGCACAATAAAAAAATTATATAAGAAAAAAAGGTAACACTTTATTTTAGGGTCTCTTAACTTGCTTATTAGCATGCATATTACTAGAATATTAGCCATTTATTAGTACTAATTAAGCACATATTAATGCCTTAAACTACATGACCTTATTCTACATCCCTAATCCTACCCAATACCTAAACTTAACAACTACCTTACTAACTATTAATAAGCAGCAAATTAGGAATTTATTGAGGGAAAAGTCGTAGTTAATAGTGAATAAGTGTTCCCTATTCTAAAGTGTTACCGAAAAACGATAATATATTAATGAATAGCTATATTAGCCTCCCTGTAGCTCAAACTGTAGCGCATGGCGCTAGCAAATGCATAAATGTAAAGTAAATGTAACAGTGTTTTTCTTCGTTTTTGCTGCAATGTTCAAAATATCACTCTAAAAAGTGAAAAATAATGCTAAATATTTTTTAAATTCATAATTTTGAATGTATATCATTTTTTAAAGTAAATTTAAATACCTTCATGTTTTCAATTTTTACGATTTTGAAATGTTTTTGAAAGTCTCTTCTGCTCACCAAGGCTGATCAAAAATACAGTAAAACAGTAAAAATAAATTGTAAAAAATATATATTTTTAGCAGCCATTACTACAGTGTCACATGATACTTCAGAAATCATTCTAATATTCTGGTTTGGTGCTTAAGTAACATTTCTCATTATTATTAATGTTGAAATGTTGTTCTGCTTAATATTTTTGTGGAAACCATGACACATTTTTAGGAATCATAAATAAATAGATTTAAAAATAAACATTTATTTGAAACAGAATAGAAATTTTGTAACATAATAAATGTATTTATGTCACTTTTGATCAATTTGATTGGTTGCTGAATAAAGGTATTAATTTCTTTCAAATAAGTAGTATATACTGAATACCATATATAAGCTATTATAAATTAGACAGTATTTCGATTATTTGATAAGGTACCAGTGGTTTAACTAGTCTATCATTATTACATAACTTACAATTGAAAGTAATGTTTCAGTATATATAATTAAATATATAATGAATTATATATTCAGTATAATTCATTTATATAACAATTTAGTTATAATGTATAACTGAATGAAAAATGTACTACCTAGCCCTATAATTAACAATAAATAAGATCAAATAAACTCAAAACAAATAAATAACATGCAACAGTCCATAAAACATTACCAAACCAATAGATAAAAAAGTACAAATTGTACAGTCAAAAGTAAATGTATTCATTTTATGTCAAATTTATTCATTGACAATATTAATTCATTTTACACCACATACCTTGTGGACACTTGCATAAACAACCTGCTGTGCTTCACATCATGATCTGTACAGACGCACCAAACCATGGATATATTCTTCTCTCACACAAAAATGTGTCTCTGTTGACAGCCGCAGCCTGCTTTCCCACAGAATAACAGGAACTCACCTATCAAAGTGTGTCCTTCCAGACTTGAGAAAAATCTAAAACAGACAAAAGTTTCTTAGTAACTTAAAAGGTTTCACTGTCTTTTGTCACTGTCTCAGGTTTCACTGTCTTGTGAAGCATTTCAGTGAAGACTGAGTTATGTGCACCACCCCCCTTAACCCAAAACTTCAACACACACCCAGCCTCCAAAGCACAGGTAGTGCACTTCCTCTCTAGCAAAGCTAAATGTGAACTGTAAATCAATAAATCAATCGTATATACCCTTATATTTTATGCACATTTCAAGCATATTGGGTTAAATTTGGAGCCACGGAGAACTGCAGAAAAAATTGCTTGATTATTTTAAGAGATATTTTAAAATAAGTGAAATTAAAATAAATGTTTTTGAGAAATAAGCAATAGTTTAAAACACATTGGTATACTTACATAGTTATTTTGTTGTGGCTACAGTTTCATTTACCACAGGTCAAGCTGCTTTTAACAGGCAGAGCTTTTATTTCAATGGAATGTAATAACCGCTTTGGGTTTTGTGTCAGTTTAACTTGTTCCACCCATACTTGCATCATACTCGTTACTTTGTATACCTGTCTTTTACTGAACAAAGAGCAGGTGGGGTTTGCACCTGACAACACCTAGGCCTGTCGCAATAATCAATATATCGACTTATCGCGCAATATATGTACATGACCTCAATAATTTTTGGTGATGCAATATATCGCACATTATATTTACTTAAAAATTAATGTCACCATGTTTTGTACATTCCACTTGCGCCTGTTTTCAGCTTCTCGTACATAACGTGGTGTAGTCATGAGGTGCTACTTCAAATTTAAAAAAGCTTCTACAAAAAAAGTTTCATCTGCAGATATGGCCTTGTTTAGGGATCTGACGAGCATCTGACTGCTAAATAGAGATTGTGTTTTTCAGCAATAGTGCGCACCCTTCATTTACAGAGAAAAGAAGGTCAGGGGAAAATCTGTAGATGGAAAAATCTCCTTTGTGAACTTTGGAAAGCTTATCGCAATTATTTCTGGGGCAATATATCGCACAACAAAAAGTAGTGACAGGCCTAACACCTTCTCCATATTTTGTTTTTGGCTGTTTACCTGTATCCATAAGAGCAAGATTTATTCTGTGAAGGATTTAACATTTGATATGTGTTTATTTTGTAGCAATAATACTGTATCTGTCAGTAATCTCTCTCTGTTGTTATTCTCTTCCTCCTATCAACTCCAAATCCTCATTTGACCCATAGACCCTTTTCACTTATTACACAGCAATAAAATGTGTGATGAAATGGACAATTAGCTAATGTCCCAATATTAGATTTAAGTAGCAGGAAGTCCATTTTAGGGAAACAATAGGATATTACAAGCCCAACTGATTTCAAGAAGCATTAGTCACCACATTAATTTGTTTCCTATCAAACTGATTTACTGTACGAGTGATTCATATCCCATTTTAGTGAATATGCAAAAATATGCAAAAGTTTAGGTTTATAATATGTATGAAAATGTATAATGCAATTTTAATTCGTACTGATTCATAATTTTACCTAATTTGGATCTGGTGTTTCCTAATACGCAGCACACACACAGAATAGGCTATCTCATATATCCCTTTTTTTCTGTTTACTGGAAGCGTCACTAAGAAACTTACTTGCAAGCATACTTTGTGAGGTTTAGTACAAAAAGGGGACTATTTATTTTATTTATAAGTGACGACTGAAAATGTTATATTATATTGAAGAAATTTCACTGGCAGTTGCTCTGTTTTAAGTAATATGTGCATGATACCCGTGTGAGGCTGAACAATTGATAGCGTTTGCACATCACTGCGCAAAGGCTGCGCATTTTGATCCCGTTGATTACATTTCCTCCAACGCGGAAGTTGCGGTTCAAGCGCTGGGAACTGAAATCTAACACACGTTAGGGATCCGCTCTCCGTAAATAATTGTTCTTTGAGAGTGTCTTGTAAATGATGCACATTCTTCATCCTGAAAATGCATAGCACTTTTAAAAACTGGAAGAAGACGTTTGCAGATTTTACACCGGATATAGAGTTGACCTGTGGGATAGTGACTGTGATCGTGCTGTCATGTGTCTTTAGTGGCATACCGTATTACTTCGATATTTCAGAGCACTTTTTCAGTCTGGAGTCCAGAGTTGTCATCAGCGGCCATGGTAAGAGTTGTTTACAACTTATAAGTCACAAATGACTCCCTCAGCTGGCTTTGTCCTTCTATAAGGCACAAAAATAGTATGACGTATAAGTTCATTGCATTTTGTAGACCGATGTAGCCTCTTAATGAATATGTTAATCACATTATGTTGGGCAGGACATACCTTAAACTCCTCAGAATTACAGTTTTGTGGTTTGTCGTCCATGTCTTTTAACTCTGGTGCCAGCTATATGCTAATATACTCTTAAACTCTGATAGAATTCACTTTAGTACATTTAAAATGTAGTCTCTCTTTGGGAAAACGGACCAACAATATTGTTGAAAGATTTTTGACCAATAAAAGCGCTAGAATGATAATGTCCCGCCTCCAGTACCACCCCACAACCGAAGTTTATTGGCTATTTAAACAAAGAGTCCTTCGATTTACACCGCCTCTTTCGCATATGTTAGCCAATCAGAAAAACCGGAGGTGGGTTTCAGGCAGCCTCGACCAATGACATTTGGGGGTGGGATTAGCTGGAAGATCGGGGTGTGTTTGAGAAACCTGTTTGGAAACAACAGTCAAGCAAACCCCGCCAAAAGAACTTTAGTTCCCACCATAGACTGTATAAAAACATGGATGTAGTGTCCGTGACGTCACCCGTAGGTTCCTGAAGAGGTTTTTGAAGCTCAAATGTGGGCAGAGCCATCCGTCGCCATCTTGGCAGCGCGTCACTCCCGGATAATCGAAAATGGGCAAAAAGGTGGGAGCTGGTTGCTGAAACCACACCCACCTAACTCGACGGTGGTGACAGCAGCGGCAATCCACCTGTCACTCAAGTGGCCACACCCTTAATTATGCAGAACTTTAAGGCTTAATATAATTTAAATGGATGACTTATAAAAAAATTCACCCCCCTCACAGTTGTCATGAAGGGCAAAATTAGCTATATAAACCAAATAATTTTTTGAACCAGGCTGTAAACATGTTTTTTTCTGCTGTAAAGTTGGGCATTTTAACATGGGGAGTCTATGGGATTGACTCCCTTTTGCAGCCAGCCTCTAGCGGTCAGTTGATGAATTACAGTTTAAGTCACTTCCTTGTTGGCTTCACGAGAGAGAGGGGGAGGTTGCAGCTTGGTTCCCACGCACTCCTACATAATCAAGTCAACCTCTCTATGCTCTAAACTACATAAATATATACATATTTTGCAAAATATACTGTTTCTACACTGACCAAAATTATAAACGCAACACTTTTGTTTTTGCCCCCGTTTTTCATGAGCTGAACTCAAAGATCTAAGACTTTTTCTATGTACACAAAAGGCCTATTTCTCTCAAATATTGTTCACAAATCTGTCTAAATCTGTGTTAGTGAGCACTTCTCCTTTGCCGAGATAATCCATCCACCTCACAGGTGTGGCATATCAAGATGCTGATTAGACAGCATGATTATTGCACAGGTGTGCCTTAGACTGGCCATAATAAAAGGCCACTCAAAAATGTGCAGATTTACTGTATTAAAAATGGGGGCAAAAACAAAAGTGTTGCGTTTATAATTTTGTTCAGTGTATATACATAATCAACATCTTTAAATCAATAGATTTCTATTTATCCATCATTTTTATTTTGTCATTCACAATGCTTTGATCGTAGATCTTTTCCTAATTAACTTATTATTTTAGATTTTCAAATAAGTTTTTCCTTCAAAGTTTGTAATGTTTACTGCATTAGGTAGCACGCCCTGTTTGCTGTTATGTTATCATATATTAAAATAAGTAAATATACCATACATTTTTTTCTTGTGTTACTTAATTTTGTCCCCTCTCTTCACAGTCTACAAACTCTTCACCTATTTCCTCTACCACAAGAATATGATGCTTTTGTTCCTAAGTGCCGTCCTGATGATGCTTCCCTGTAGCGGGCTGGAGCGAGGGATCGGAACGGTCAGATTCCTCTACCGGTCACTGCTGCTGTCGTCCATCTGTGGAGTCCTTCATGTGCTGCTGGAATCACTGCTGTTCTCCCCATCCAATAGGAGCTCAGTAAACGGGATCGTCCCATTAGCTCTGTCTGTCCTGGGAATGATGACCATCAATTCTGTTATGCGGAAGGCGTATATAATGGGTGTCAGTGTGCCTACTGCATCTCTCCCCTGGATAATTCTAATAATTATAACCCTGTTCTTTCCAAACACTGTCTTCCTTTGCAACGTCCTGGCCATTGTTACAGGAATGTTACGTATCCTTAATCTTAAATGTATAGAATACTTCAGGTTTTTTTTCATACTACAGACCTTGATTTTGAAGCTGACAATCCTGTGATGTAGTTTAATCAGTGTATAGTGTATTTTTTATCTATTCCTTAACTTGGTACTTTTAGATGGAATGGGGTGGTTTTCATTGTTAGAGATGTCAGAATCTAGAGCTTCTGTCTTGGAGAAGAAGTTCCCTTTTCGTTTGCTAAAGCAAATACCTGGTGTCCAGTTCATCCCTGCATCGACCGAAGAGCGCAAAAAGCCACTTGACCTCACGTGAGTGATCAATGCCACAATGACATATGGTCGCCCTATTTTTCACTTTATGGTGTTCATATATTGCAATATGAAGAAGGTTGTTAGAGTGCATAATTTATCTTCCTCATCTTGAGCAGCTGGATGATGCATTTCAGGCTTTTTTATTTGGTTAGTATTGGTATCAATTTAGCATTATGTCTTTGTTGAATTTGTGCCACAGCCAGCCAATTAATAAAAGCCTGTTTAACACAGACTGTTTAAAAGAATTTAAGAAAGATTTATTTTGAGATTGTGTCAGTTGGTTCTGTATGGAT